AGCTGCTGCTTCCATTGTGGCCTCACAAGAGGCAACATATTCAGCCTCAGCAGTAGAAAGAGCAACAATGCTCTGTCGTCTCGACATCCACGAAACCGCGCCTCCAGCTAGCGTAAAGATAAATCCAGTAGTACTCTTCCGGGTTTCAGGGTCGTTAGCCCAGTCACTATCACAGAAGCCCTCGAGCACAACAGAAATGCTTTCATCGTTCTGTCGATTGTACGTAATTCCGTAGTTTGTAGTGCCAACCAAGTAGCGTAGAGCTCGCTTCATAGCACCCACGTGTTTGCTAGATGGATTGGATACGAACCGACTTAGCTGTCCCAATGCATACGCCAGGTCCGGTCGAGTGCTGGTAGCCAAATACATGAGCATTCCAACTGCCTTGCGATATGGAAAACTTGTATCACTATCTTGATTTTCAGCCAGGGGAGCCAATCTAGCATTTACTTCCATCGGATTTCCCACCGCGTGAGCTCCACCAAACCCAAACTCAGCCAAAATCTCATTAGCATACTTGTTCTGACAAATAGTGATATGATCCGAAGTTTGTACTACTTCAACACCCAAGTATTGGGTCAGTAAACCTTGGTCTTTAATCCCGTACGCATCATCCAACTCTTTGAACAGTGAACCTTTGCTTGCTTCATTATTTGTGGCAACGAGGATATCATCCACGTAGATGAGTAATAGCATGACAGTCCCTCCTTTAAACCGATAGTACAGGCATGGTTCTGTCATCGAGCGCTGGTACTCATGGCTCAATAGCCACGTGTTTAGCTCCGAATTCCACTCTCGACCAGACTGTCTTAATCCGTACAGAGCCTTCACAAAGGCGTATATGTGTCCACTTATCTGGCATGGATAGCCATCAATAGACTTCAGGTACTGTCGAATACTTAGTGTCGCGTTTAGATATGCTGTGTTGATATCACCCCCATAGACATGTAGGTGCAGCACTGCAGCCAATGCTAGCAGCAGTCGAAACGATGACATCCTAGCCACGGGCGCAAAGGTCTCGCGAAAATCGATCCCAGGTCTCTGATAGTTTCCGAGCGCTACTATCCGAGCCTTAAAACGAATCACGTAGCCCTCATGATCAGATTTCAAAGCATACACCCACTGTGTGCTAATTGGCTTAGCATCTTCCGGGACTTCCTCTTCAGGAATCTCCACAATAACGCCTTTCGCTCTGAGTGCAGCCATTTCTTCCATTTCAGACAATAACCAGAAATCTGCATACTTCGATCGTCTGGCTTCACGCCGGTTCCTAGGTATTTTCACGTCACTTGCCCTAATAGGCTTGCCGCTCCTGTCCAGTACTCGCGAGATTTTCTGGGTCATGTTTACCACATAATCGTCCAGATACCGTGGACGACGACGCTCATGAAACTCACGAATTCCAGTACGTGTACGCTTAGGCTCAGCCTTTTCAGCACCGCGTTCGACCCTCAGTTCCTCCGAAGTCGTCTCATCGCGTTGTGCTCGCTTTCTGTCCCGCATTCGATTGATCAAGCTACTGGCGTCCACCGTTTCTGTCATCATCTCCACGTTTTCGTTTTGCTCACCAGCACTGCTTGTAGTGAAGACACTTGCTATCGTCACTTCATCTTTCCCATCCATCGCATCCAGCACTACCTCACTATTGATCTCTGAGTTCACCTCCTCCACACTAGCTTCCGATTCGCACAGTACAGTGGTAGATTCATTTCCATCACAAACATCAGTATCCTGTGTATCACATACTCCAGTCCGACTTGGGTTTTGCTCATCAAGTCCACTATTTTCCTCGGTGTAACATTGTTCACAAGTCTTAGCTGTCTTACTTGTCATCTCATCGGTAATAGTTACTCCGACTTCAGTACCGTTTACTGCAGCACTTGGTTCATTGAGTGTTTGTTGACTGCGCTCACGCTCACAAACATCATGGCCAGCCGTGGTGCTTTCGCCCTGAGCTTCACTTTCATATTGAGCAGATAGACTATTTGCACCAACAGCATCAGCCTCGAGGACATCGTCTGCAACGTATTTGCCTTCCTCGAGATCCAATGTGTCCAAATCAGCCTCGAGGACATTGTCTGCAACGTATTTGCCTCCCTCGAGATCCAATGTGTCCAACATCATGGTCTCGTCTACTTGTAACTCACTTGCAGAATGTGTATCAGCATCTAGAATCATTGTAGTCATTTCTTCATCACTACCATCCATTTTGCTGGT